GTGATGCCGTTTTGCTCGAGGAACGCAACGGCAGACTGCGTTGGCGTCCACTCACGATAATGCACCAGCACAACGGCTTGGTTGTTGACGGTCAACGGTACCGAGAAGTGCTCGGTCATCGTGGGGGGCGGCGGGTGGATCTCGTCAATTCGCTTTTGGATTTCGCTGGCCACTTGCGGCAACAGGCGCGCGAGAAAATTTTCATTTGTGATTCCCAGACGTGCCGCAAACGCGCGCGCTTCCACAAGCGGGTCCGAGCCTTCAAAATGCTGTACCACAGATGGCTGGCCGTCGATCGTGATAGTGAACGAAAACTGGGGTTCTTCAGTAGGCGCGTTCAGCTCGGCGACTTTAGTCTGGAGAAGCTGCAACAGTTGGGGGGCGACTTGTACTTTGTCATCTTCTGTCAATGGGGCATCACGCAAGAAACGTGATACAGCGTCGTTGTGGGGTTCTTCGCGGAAGAGGGTCAACGCTGTGTCCACGCCATTGATCGTCAGCGGAATTGTCACGACAATCTCTTTGGATGGGACTGGCTGCTGCTCCGCGACCTTTTCGCGAAGCATCGAGGCGAGTTGGGCAATGTATTCCTGCGACCGTTGCGACTCGACGCCGTCGGCGACAAGTCCATTCATCTCCATGAACGAAAGCGCGGCACGCTCCACGCTCTCGCCACGTAAGAGCTGCAAGTTCTTGAGACTGCCGTCAATATTTACAGGCAGCGAGACGAGTACTTCCGCGGTACACAAAGAGGCAGCGGCGAGCACCGACGCCACAACGGAGAGCTTCATCTGCGAGGGGGGGCAGTGGATTGCAAGTGTGAGGAGCACGACAAAGATCGCTACCGTGGAAAAATAGAAGATCGCACAAGTCAAACGAGTCGAGCCAATCGGTGCCGTTGCTCTCGCCCATATCGACCAACCCGGGCGCGGCGTTTGGATCCAAAGCGTACACGTTGTACGAACGTCGTACATTCGACAAGGCACGTCACACATGCATACCGTACATGGAGTGGATGAAGCATGTACGGTCGCCACTGTCGACGTCGATGACCCACCACAACGGTGAGCTGGAGGCAGTGGAGCCGCGGCGACTGGAGCAACTGCCACGGCGCCTCATGAATGTTTCGTCTGATGTGAAGCTGCTGCGTATCATGGAGCAGGATTGGCGTCGGATGATGTGAGGAACAATGGGAGAAGTTCCCCGGCGTGAAACGCTCGCCGCCATCGACTCGCGTGCTGTCCTGTGTTGGCAGTGGAGGAGGTTTCTCGCGACGCAGGAACCACCGAAAGCAGTTTGTTGGGGATACGAGATTTACACGACGACTACAAGACCGCGTACTTGGTTTGGTCTTGGTCGCCTAGGTTGGTTTCGTGAAGCAGCGGCTCGTCGTGCGCGGCCAAGTCGTGCTTCGACCCCGCGCTTCGTTGAAACGCCACGGTCGTCAAGATCGACCCTTGAACTTTCGCCTTGGTCCCGAGATAGTGCTTGAACGTTTCCAGTTCGGCCGCATGTTTGCCGGCTTCAGCAACGACGTGCTTGGCCCCTCGGGACGACCCCTGGTCCTCATTCTCTGCCGCCGACTCGCTAAGAGCCACCATCTCCGAGAACAAGCTCTCGGGGGTGTCCACCAAGCTGTCGTACGTGCCACTCTCAGCGACCGCGCCTTTGTCCAAGACCAAGATCAAGTCGGCGTTTCGAGCCGTCGACAACCGATGCGTGACCTAACAATGCACCCCAAACGCCACGTGAATCGAGCATTCCAAGCCAAGCATGCCACTGACATGACGCCACGACCCAAACTACAGTCAGAAGACGTCGCATTCGCATCGATCATACCGACAGAATTGTCATGTGATTGTCTCGCGACAGGGTTTCCAGCGTGCGTACGATCGACGCTTCCGTTTCGGGGTCCAACGCGCTCGTGGCTTCGTCCAGCAAAAGCAAACTTGGTTTGCGCACAAGGGCGCGGGCAAGGCAAATGCGCTGCACTTGGCCACCGCTCATGTTGCACGTGGCGTGCTGGCCCATGATGGTGTCGTAGCCTTGGGGCAGCTTGGTGACAAACTTGTCGGCTTCCGCCCACTTGGCCGCTTCGATGCACTCTTCGACAGTCGCCGACTCGTTGCCATAGCGAATGTTTTCGAGAACAGTGCCGTTTAAAATACCGCCGTCTTGGAACACGACGGCAATCTGAGCCATCACGCTCTGCTTGGTGTACCTGTGCATGCATCCCACTGAGCGAAAGGGCAAGCGAAGCAAGGAATGCATACGCTTTGATGTCGACGTTGTCGATCGCAATGGCACCGTCCGTGATCGCGTTAAACTGCATCAAGCAGCTCAAGAGCGAACTCTTCCCGCACCCGCTGGGACCGACGAGGCAAGTGTAAGCACCTACGTTCCGATTCCATGAGCGAAGAGGTATCATGACGTCGTCAAATGCCTTTTGGAATCGTGGCGCTGAGTTTGTTGAGGACGTTGGCGCCGCCCTTCTTGTATTGAAACGAGACGTTTTCAAAGGTCACGGACGATTTCATCGGGGGCATCGTGGTCGTTGCCGTCGGTGACACCGCCTGCGTGGCGGGGAGCGCCAACAGCATATCCAAGCGCTGCAAACTTGATGCATTGCCAATCGCCACTCGCATGAAGCCACCTAATGCGCCGATCAATCAGATCGTTGCAACATGACGTGATCATGTCAAGATATATCATGGTGACGTACCCAAGATCGTGACGGGCGACGACACGCGGGCCAGCATCGTGACAAACGCAAAAAACTGGCCCGACGTGAGTTTGCCCTGGCGCACTTGAATCGCCAGCGACGCTGTCATGACAGCCACGAAAATATACATGGCCGACTCGACGTAGATTTGCACAATGCCCGACCAAAAGTCCTTGCGGAACTGAGCGCTTTGGAGGGTATCGACGACCACACGGAACTTGGACAGCAGTGTCGGCTGGAGCGCATACGCTCGAACGACCTGGCCAACAAGTTCAGTCAAATCTGGTCATGGCATGTCGGGTCGCATTACCTTTTGGCACGAGATGGCATTGGCAAAGTCCGACGCGACGTATGCATTTTGAGACCCAAATGCTTTCGATTGCTTGGCGGCGTACCCTTGTGGTCCCGACGTGACGAGGACGAAAGCAAATGCAAACGAGAGGAGACCGAGAGGGGGCTGCGAGTACAAGAGGTACCCAAACCCAAAGAGGATCGACACAAGGGGGTTGATCAGATTCCAAAACACAGCTTGCCACAGGCCGTTGACCCGTGCCAAGTCGGACCCAAACAAGTTGTTCAGGTCGCCATCCGACCGCGCCGCAAAGAACGACGTCGGTTGACTTAAGATCGTTTGGAGCAAACTGCACTGTAGTTGCGCCGTCGCCTTGGATATCATCTTGGACTGGAAGTACCTGTCATGCGCTGTTAGAACGTTGCCATAGAGTGCATGTGAATCAACCCGATCATGGCATCACCCAGCGCAAACGGAATGCAGAGCGCCAGGAGCCCCACGACGCCGTACACAAGTGCCGTGTCCTGGTCCATCGTCGGGCTCTTAATGAAAGCTTGGTCAGCCAACAAGTTGAGAAAGAGCGCTTGCAGTGGGTTGATGGACGCGTTCATGCACACGACAAGCACGACCATGAGTAAGTCGCATGTTTGCCCGGCCCAGTGACGCAGCGTTGACGTCACAACGTCCACAGCGCCGTATGAGTAAGTGGACGCGTCTACATCACGCAGGTAGCCCAGGAACTCGGACACGGAGCACTCCTTGGGGCGGTACACGAGGGCGAGCTCGAGAAACGTCATGAGCTTGGTGCGCGACATTGCACCGTCGGCATTGCCGGCAATTTGCGTCAACTTGCGATCTAGCGTTAAGATATCGTCGGCGACCATGCCTGCCTTCGTTTAGCACACCAAAGACGAAGGGCTGCTGCATACCTGGGATTTTGTACAAGCTGGCGCGAACACTGGCGACTGATATGTGGATCTTCTCAAAGCCGGCGCGAAACTTGTGAAACTTTTTCGAGAACACGCGCGTTTTGGGCTTGAGCACAACGTGAAGCGCGGTGAGAATGAACGACGCCATGGTCCACCAAAACACGACTTCGAGGTTGTAGTACCGAAAGTAGAGGCACACAAGGAGTGCCACGAGGACAAGGAAGTCCAATATCGCCGCGAACGACTGGAGCACCGCTCCGCGCAGGGAGCCGAGTCGCAACACCATGTCCAACACGTACAATGTCATGCATGTGGCAGAGATGGCCCACACCAAACGCAAGTAGAACTCGAAGCGGTGGAGGCCCTCGGATACGAATGACAAGAACGCCATCTGCGCAAGAAAGTCGACGAACAAGACGGCCATGTACGCGTAGTGCCACTTGCGAATGTCAACACAGTGCAGCACACCCGCGCGGCGGGCCCACGACCCCGAGTCCAGTGATTTTGACGACACTGCGCTTCCATACGTCGTCGTTGTCTCTGGCGCCTGCAGATTCAGCTTGACGGAGTCGGCCATGCTTTGCACTCTTCTTCCACTTGACCACTTCGTAGTCAATCAAAGAGTGCCTTTCTCACGTCCACGGCACGTCCAAACTCGCGGTTAAGTGCGATGCCGTTTTGTGGATTCGTCAATTTCAGCAAAAATAGATGATTCTCGGGGGTATTTTCCAATAATTGTTTTTTGTGCTGGGGTAGTATTCAACCTTTTTCGAGTACTCGGTTTGCAGGAAGTGTGGGACAAAGTGTGCCCCCTGAAAGAAGCCCAGCATCGGCGTCGCTACTAAGGGTCTTACGTCTGTGATGTGCCCGTTCATCGTGGACCGAATAATTTATGTGGGGAAGTCATCTACCTGAAGTGTGTGAAAAGAGCTACTGGACTTAAGAGGACAGGTATCCGGATAACATAAATGAAGGATTTGACATACAGATATCCGGATTTCCGCTTTGATCGGTGCTGTGGATTCTGCGCAATTCGAGTTGAAAATGGTTGCGAGCGACGACGGCAGCTTGGAGCAGTTCACGCTCCTGGCCAAGACAGCGCGCGGACGGGCGTGCGTAGCATTGGTCCAACAGGTTCTAAGCAACAAGAAGCTGTTTGTGTTCGGAGAACTGCTCGATATGCCGAATGTCAAGGCTTTGGCCGAGAGCGACCAGGCCGACCAGCAAGGGCATGCCCGTTTATTGGCCATCTTTGCACACGGTCGGTACCTCGACTACGTCCGACAGAAGCAGGAAGCGACTTTCCACATTCCCGACTTGAACGCAGCCCAAGCACTGAAGCTGCGCAAGTTGACGGTGGTCTCACTGTGTCAAGAACATAAGTCCGTGCCGTATCGCATCCTGATGGGGGAGTTGCAGATCGGTAGCGTTCGTGAAGTGGAAGACATCGTTATTGACACGATCTACTCGGTACCATCATGGACTCGGTTCGATTGTGAATGACAGTCGACGCTTGACCAGGGACTAGTCGAAGGCCAGCTCGACGAAAAGAACGAAGTGTTCGAATCAAGCTACTCTGTCGGCCGCGACGTTCAGCTTTCGGACATCGACGACATGATTCATCGACTCACGCAATGGTGTCGTTTCCAATCTCGACTCCTCGTCCACTTGACACGCATTGGGCAGGCAAAACGATGCAAAGCAAATGTGCAACCGCATAGATGAAGTGTTGAGGTACACGTGGCTTCCTTCAGTTCCATGGACCTTATGGGCAAGTGCAGCCACGCAGCGGCGGTGGAAGACGAGAAGGCTCAGCTAGACGCGTCCGTGAAGAAAGCAGTCGCGGCGACACGTCAACAACAGATCAAAGATCGCCATCTCGCTACTGACGTCGACCCTGAGCTCATCTATGGCGACATTTCAAGCGGCGCGTATCGTCCGATTTCTGGGTACGACTCCTGATATAGTGCATACGGTGACGTCCTCATGGTGGCGGATGGTAGCCCCAGTGGAAAGCGCCGCATGGGCCCGACAGCAACGCGCAAGGTGCCGCGCAACTAACTGGTAATGACATGTGCGATTTTGAAAATCTCACGTCGTTACGATGAACTGTCAAATACTTGGATGACCACTTTGTGCACTACCTGCACTCGGCTACACAAAGAGCAATATATTTTTGTTCATTAGTTATTAAGTGTTGTGGATGGGTCGTCCATATTCATAAATATATCGTCATGGGTGTGTGTTTCAACACGCCCACAGCAGTGCGCCACACTTGCTGCCACAAAGTTCGTGGGCGCTTGGGAACTGCGGGCCACGGTTGGGCTTGTAAGGTTTCGAGAGCCAAGGCATTCTTTGTGGACGACGGGGGCGGGCGGCACTGAAAGGGCTCGCGGCCAAAGTTGAGCCTAACTGTGTAGTCTGCATCGATTCCCACCACAGGATAGAGCTCTCCATGGATACAGGCAAACGTGCCATCTAATGGAAGCATGCGTTAGTGGACAGTGAAGTGAAATCGAACGACACACCAAGTCGTGCGCCATTCTTGGTAAAGTACAAAGTCGAATCGTGCGTTGTCATCTCTCGCACAATGCCGCAACCGATTGTGTCGTGCATCCCAAACGTAGCAGCGAACGGATGAGGCTACGACCACATCGGTGAGTCAATGAATCATGAGGCACACGTAGCCATGGAAACGACCTACCTGCCCGCTGGTGAAGAAATGGCCGTCGTCGCTGTGGTATCCAAAAGAGTTGTCGTCCCATCCTGCAGCATCATTGAGTTGTGGAGTTTGGTGGGGAGCGGAGGCTGACCTGGCTGCTGGTCCACCACCTCAAAGTCGGGAGATGCCACACCAATTGCAATGCACATGTCCAATGTATCGTCATCGCTACGAAGTCGAAGCGTAAGTTCGAAGATATTGCAAGGTGATGCTGACGACAAGGTCGTACCGCGTGGGATGGATCGGGTCGGCGATCGATATCTCAAAGTAGCCGTCGTAAAGCACATCGACAAACCAAGTCTTGTCCGTTGTCTGAAATACGGCCACGCGCGGATTCATGTCGAACGGAACGTTTGACCGCACACATCGATTGCCGCCGACACTTTCTTTTGCCAGCGCCATCGTCACGACGTGTCCGTTGTCGTAGGCGACTGGTTCAATGCTACCACAGCCGTCAGGAACACTAGGATGGAAATGGACGATTACCGGTGGTTCGTGGTGGAGGCTGTCGCGTGTGTGTTGGTCAGGCAAATGTCGGCAAATGAAGGAACTTTTTCGACGCAATGCGTGAGAAATCGGAAGGCGTCGCTCGGTCTGCCCTCGACACAGCGTTGGTCTCATGAAGATGAACCAAGACCAAGGTTTCTCGTACCGCGGGTATGCAGCCTGCAGCGTCGGGGATAGTTCAATTCGAAGACCTGGATCCATGAAGAAGTTTGCTTGGTTCCATCGCAGCCGGAAGAGCGCTTCCCACAGCGTTTCGTTCTGCTGGAGAGAGTTGTGCCATCGTGATACGAGCGCCAGCGCGCGGAGCTCCATGGCTTCCAAGTACTCGAATGCATGGAGCAAGACGTCTCGCGGCAGCATGTGCATCCTTCTTCGGTCCGTTGCAGTATCGGAAATTGCAAGATGAACCCATGTCCGACGCTTCCGAACTTCAACGACAGGTATCCGGACAACCCGAAGAAGTGCCGAGAATGTTCACAATCGCGGCGACGCTTTCAGCCCGATCGCAGTGCGGATACATGTCTCGAGGTGGGGGTGTGCTGTTGGCTGCAGCTGCGCGGCGAGCCTGGTCAAGCACCATGGGTGCACGTCTTGCGGACCAGCGCTGGACGACGACGCCTGGAGAACCCACGATGTGTTATGGGTGGTGATGACATGATTGTTGGGGTCATTTTCTCGAACTCAAGTTTCGACTCCAATACTCGGTGGCGGACCTTCTCGAAGCACAGCGGTGGCTCTGTTTGACCGAGTGCGTACTCGGAGGTAGACAGTGACTGCGGTTGTTTCGTGTGATCTGCCACATTAAGTCAAGACGCGGTGACCACTTGAGAGCAGTCAAAGCATCCGCTCAACTCGTTCACGTGTGTGAAGTCGCTACCAACGAGGAGGCCAACAAGGAGGCCAACGACGACGACGAGGTTTGTTTAGCCACACGTTATCACGTCGCTTGGACAGTTTCGTGTTGGAGGGATGAAACCGTCGATCGACATTGACGTGTAACGGTTGCCTGCGCCAGGGCATGCATGGCCACCAGCGCATCGGTGAGGTGTCGCAGTTCCTCGGCGACGTTAACACGGATGGCCAGGACTTGCCGTGAGCAGCGTGAGCTATGTTCTGAACTGGTACACTCTCTGCGATCAGCACTGGGCCTACGATGTATCAAGCCTCACGTCTTTCGGGCTGTGGGCGTTCACGGTACTTCGATGATGCTACCGCGTCCCCCATCGGTTGCTCCGCACTATGGCTGATATGGCTTTAGGGCACTGGGGTCACGATCAAGCTCGTCGATGCTGGCGCCGAAAATCTTGGTTACGATGTGGTCACACCCAGCCTCCGCCCAAGTTCTTTTGGTGCATTTTGGTACGTCCTGTCGTGCATTCTTCATCCGTGGAACTCAATACGCATTGCAGCTCGATTCCACCGATCCATGACCACGATCCGTGGTGCGGCGCTGCCACGGACTCGGCTCGTGCATTCCACATCATGGGCTTTCTCGCCGCCACTGCCAGCTATGTTATCAGCACTCACGTCGTTTTTGAACGTTCGTTTCCATCTTGGGATGGCGGCGGCACCAAAGCGTCGCTGCCTTGGGCCACGTTCCTCTCGTTCTGGCACGGTGTGTGTTCGATGGCCGTGCTGGTTTCGTGGGGGCTGGCGCAAGGTACAATTGAACTCTCGATGCTCTCCACTCTCGATCGCTGGCGTTGCTACGATCGCAAATTCATGTTTGACCTTGTTCGTAGACGCGATGAATGATGCTTGCATAGCCGACAATCTCACGACGAAGCGGCCATGCATCTCAGCATCATATACGTTCTACGTATTGATTGCGAATACCTTGACGCCGTTCTTCTTATGGTGGTGGTGGAAGCACACCCACCACTGGCTCGTACGCATGTGAATTCGCCCATGTTCAACAACACGGGGCGGCTGTGTGATGGCTATGCTGGATGGATAGGAAGCCAAACACTCTGGGGCATTAATGGACGGGTTCCTCTTGGCTGCCAAGACAGGTCTGTATCGCTCTGACTTGCCAGAGCCCTTCATCAAAGCAATTCTTTGAATTGGTAGACGATATCGACGAAATCCTGGGCCAGGTCGCCGCCAAAGCCGATATCAATGGACTGGGATCGGACGGTCGCAATGCTCTCCATTGGGCCTGCGCGCTCAACCGCACGACTGTCTTGCACATTCTCGTGAAAAAGGGGGCCAACATTAGTCAAAAAGATGTGCAGTCATCCCCCTTCGTTGTTGCAGCTGTGCGCTCATGCAGTGTGTGTAGAAAGATGGATGGACGCCATTGCACTGGGCGAGGTACTTTGCACCACCTTCCACGACCGTACGATGTCATGGCGCCACGTTAGTCGCATGGGAAACCCCGATGTCGTGCGGCTCCTTGTCAAGCATGGTGCCGATGTGAACGCCAAAGATACGTGGGGCACGACGCCGTTGATGCTGACCGTGCTGGGAAAGAGCAAGACCGCCGCCATGTGCCTCCTTGAGCTGGGTGCCAATATCAATGCACGAAACGTAATGACATGGCGCATGCATGGCAAGATTATGATGGCAGGCTACGCTAGGTCTTTGGACAGACAGCGCTCATGCTGTGTGTGGAAGAAGACGCCGAAATGCACGCGTTCGTTGTCATGCTCCTCAACGCCGGCGCATCCCTCACGCTGCGCGATGTACGACCTCGACTCCATCGTGCGGTGACTGTCCAATGTCACCATATTCAACACATCCTTTTGGTTAGTTCCAAGGGATGTCTGTGTTGCATTACGCTGCGAGCGCGGGACTCAAAAACATCGTGCATGTCCTTATTGAGTGTTGTTTGCCGGACCAGCTTGTCCAAGTGAACAAGGTGCGCATGGGCCAGAAGCGGTTGTCAAGTTGATAGCTGGGACATGTTAGTTTGGCGACACCCCGCTGGCCGAAGCTCGGCTACGAGGTCGTGCGAACACCGCGCTACTTCTCGAACGTGCGATCGAACCTGCAATGCTGCCACCAGAGTATGCCGCCAGCGACAACGGAGACGAACTGCCGAGGCCATCCTCCGACAACGACTCGAGTGACGACGACACGTCGAACGAATGAGGACAACCGACTCTGGTCGCACACAATATCAAGTTCCAGTAAATAGTCCCGCTAGGCTAACTCTAATTTTTCCAGCAACAGCATCGTTCCCTTTTGCTCCTTGTGCGCGGACGTCCACTTTTTGCCCTTGAGCGCCTTGACGAGGGCGGCGTTGGCCCCCGAAACTGGAGGGTCCAGGAAGGCTAGAAGCACGAATGCGCCGCGGTTGGATTCGGCCCACTGAGCAATGCGACCTGCCTTGGTCAGTTCGGCGAGCAGGGCCGAGCCAACCGTCGACGCGTGTTGAATCAAGCGCTGCATGTGTTTGTGCGCGATGAGGTCCGCATACAACATGTCGAGCGAGGTGTCGGCGGGGGTTTCGTCATGGACGACAGTTTGGACAACCGCTTCCAAGAGGTCCGCGTTGGTGGACTGCTTGAGGACTTCAAACAAAACGTGGCCGCCGCTCTTGGAGCGGAGCAACGCATCGACATTCTCGGCGCACATGGCCTCGATGGGGGCCTTGAGACCAGCCCACAGTTCCTTGCGGCGGGTCTCGGGGTCCTTTTTGTAGTTGACAACGAGCTCCGTCGAGCCGACGGCAGCAGGGACCATGGGCGGCTGCAGCAGGGCGATTTCGTCCGGGTGGAGGTACTTGGTGTTGAGGGGCGATAGCAACTGGAGGAGAACTTTGCTTCCGTTTTGGTGCAGCGCCACGTCGAGCCAGTGGTCTTGCAATTCGGACAAGACTGACTTTTGCACGAGCACCGTGTCGTCCAACACATCCAGCACGCGGAGCAGGACGAGGTACCCGCTGATGTGGTTGCATGCCTCTAGTACCTTGTCCTTGAGGGTCTTGATCACGCGCTTGCGATCTTTCGCGTTTCCGAGCGACAGGCACACCACGACAACCTTGGCGCCGGCCCGGGTCGCCAGGAGCGCCACCGCCGCGTCGCGGATGTTCGGGATCATGGCGTTGACTTGGTCAGTCGACGCCACCGTCAAGTACTCGAGCATGAGCGCCTGGACGAACGCCAACCCAAGCAACTGCTTGTCCACCATGCGGTTGAGCACATCCGCAACGTGCGTGAGGATTTCTTCCTTCTTGGACGGGCTCTGCGCCACGATGTCGGCTAAGTTCTTCTTCTTCGACTCCATTTCCGATTTGAAGTACGCAAACTCTTTGCCGTAAAATTCGAGCTTGAGGCCGCTCAGTTGCCCGGGCTGCAAAAAGTCTTGCGCAGACTCGAGGATTGTCGCGGCGACGTTGTGCGTGGCAATCTTGACCACGTTTCCCGTGAGCTCCTTCACAATCAGCGCCCGGTCCTCCTTTGACCCGTACTTGATCATCTTGGTCACGAGAAAGCACCCGTATTGCAACTTGGCCATTTCAAGCATGTGCGGGAGCATTTCCTTGATCGCGCTGCTCCGGTGCGCAGGGGTGCCGTACTTTAGGAGCGACTGGATCACGCGAGACGCATCATGCTTCGCCGCCACGTCGTGAATCTTGCCAGTCACCAAGTGAAACAGTTCATCCACGAGAGGCACTCGCTTGGCCTTGTCCAAGTCGCGCTCGCGGATGATGTTCCAAATTTCCTTGGCGCGCTTCACCATGTCATAATTCGGCCGACTCATCTTGCGCTGCAATTTGTAGTCCACTGGAGCGTTTTTCTCACCCTTTCCTTGATAGCCGCCTTTCTTAGCTCCGTCCTTGCCCTGCCATGACTTCTTCTCGCCAGGTTTGCCTTGCAATGGCTTTTTGTCTCCAACTTTGCCCGAAGCGGGCTTCTTGTCCGTCTTCTTGAAGGCGGGCTTGCCATGGGCGCCACCTGCCTTTTGTGCTTTCGCGCCGGCATCCTTGGTCTTCAAGTTGGCGTCCGCGGCGGACCGCTTCTTCGGGTTCGTGTCTTTTGCTGGAGGCGCCATCGTGTCAGAATGCCAAGACTGCTTCCAACAAGGATTGGATACAAGTTTATCACGTCCGCACCAGTCAAATTGGCGTATCGATACCGGATAATTCTCGCAGTCCGGATAATACAAGCACGCGATTGGTCTGTCCAGGTCGAACGTTGAAGTTGTTTCGAGATCCACGCCGCCACGTTCCAAGAGGGCGGCGGCATTCGTCTGCTCTCTGGTGGCGCGCCACTGCATGCCGCTCCAACAAACGGGCACGAGTGAAAGGACTAGTTGAGCTGAGCACCCCATGGCTTACACTACCGATCGAAGCGACTTAACCGAGTCATTGCCTGTCGCTCCAGTATTCAAACGCGATTGAATGTACTCGCACTTGTGGACAATTTTGGCCAGCACTAGCAATCGCCGCGATGCAAACCAAGGGGATTCGTGGCACAGCTAAAGCAAAATATCATCGGAGCGTACACACATGCATGGCCAGCCTAGTGTAGCCTCCTGCATGGATGCTCAAACGATGCCTTCCACTGCGCATATCATACAAACTACGTTACCCCAACTTCTGTTGTTCACAAAGGCGACGGCCACTTGGTGCATGGCTCAGGAGGCGTAAGATCTTTGCGAAATGTCACCCCCTTGTGCATTTGATTGCTTTTGGTCAATGGTACTCGTGAGACTGTACAGATGCTTTCACTGCCGCGAACGATTCAACCCTAGCTGCCGGCGACCTCTGGACAGTTTATTTGGACTGTGCTCCACAAGACTTCGGTGTGGTGGTGATGGAAAAGCGGACAATGGCCAGATTTGGAGGTTTGTTTGGTCCGTTGAGGCGACTTCGTCGCCATGTCGCTGGACCACGTCCCACGACTCGACCGAACCAGCCGACGTGAGAATTTTGCCAAACGCTCGCATGCCGCTGCACTTCTTCGACCGCGTGGACACGCTTCACCGTTGGGGGCTGACGTTCGACGACAACGACAAGTTGCATCGCTGTCGCATTGCGCTTCGTCTGGCGGCACTGAAGATCCCTGAGGGATGCACCTACGGCCTGGCACTCTTGGTGGACGCCTACAACACCATGGAGCTAGATTATAGTACGTCGCCACCATCGCTGTCGTGCGGTTCACGCTTGGTTTTTTGTAGTGAGCGCGTTTGCAATCAATGCGTACAACGAAGATGACCCGACAAAGGTCGTCGCAGCATTCATCACCGACTTCCCCGAGCTGGTGGACGTGGAAAACAGAGTCGCGCACCGACGCCACGTGGGGCAGCTCTTGCTTTGCGACAAAGCAGCGTGGGGTCGCCACCTGTACCTGGGGCATCGGAACATGCACAAGCTGCTGATTTCGGGCCGGTTTGAGACTCCCCGCTTGATCTACTCGAGTGCTGCGGAGCTCATGCGGCACATGAACGCTGGTACAGGCAAGTCGAGCGAATGGTTTTTGAAGGACCTGGAGCCTTTGAATGGCTGGCTCTAGTCGGTCGCGAGCCCCTAACTCAACGAAAGATGGCGTGGGGTAAGTTAAATACTTTATATGAGCAATATGGGTAGTCGTCTATGTGGCTTGGGCTGGTACGTTGCAAGGGTTCAGCGACGGCTGCGTGCGGTCGCCAAGCATATTGTACACGTAATCAACGGCGATCCCGCTGTAGCTCTTGCGGAGGAGGTCCTCCATGGATCTGGCAACTTCGACAGTCTGGCTGGGGCGCGCGGGATCGGAAGGCGCTCCGTACGTAGCAGCGGACGGCTTGCCAAAGTTCAACGAGCCTTCGCCAAAGTACGTGGTCTGTCGTGGCTTCGTGGGGGCGATTGTTGGTGCCGCAAGAGGGCTAGGCACGGTGAGTGTATGATTGTTGGGAGTCGTGGGGAGACTCGGCGGGGCCGTCCGGTTGGGGGTCTCGGGCGTGGTGGGGCCACTGCTGCTCCAGTGTTGTCCTCGCGGCGTTTTCGGTGTTTGCGGCAAGTACGACAGATCGAGCTTGGCTTGCGACCGGGGCGTCGTTGCGGCGGCGCTGTGTCGGCGCTGGTAGGCATTGGACGACGAGGATGGTGTCGTCGAAGTCTTAGGCAAGTACGACAAGTCGACGGGTTTGGTAAGCTGACTGCGACCGGACATGGACTCCTGGGACCCGATGCGACCCCACGATGGGTTGCGGGACATGGGAACGGGGGCAGGGACGAGTTGTGGGGGCTGTTGGCCGGTGGACCCTTGTCCTCGCTGGTAATCGGTGGCGGTGCTTCGGTACGAAACGTTAGAGATGTTGGAGCCGTTCGATGCAGTTGAGTATGCGCTGGGGGTGCTCGGGCCGTTGGCGTTGTACAAGTCGTACATGTTCATTTCGTTGTACGCTTGGGTCGCGCCCGACGTGACCGAGAGCATCGACAGCTCCTGCATCATCTCGCCGTCCGTCCCCTTGTTCACCCCCATGTTGCACAACGTGCAAATGCGCACCTTTTTGAGGCTTGTGCCGGGGACTTCGACGGGTCGTTGGATCGAACACTTGCCGCAAATGACTTCTCCGCATGCGCGGCAGTGGTGGCGATGCCGAAACAGTCCAAATCCTCGACCACACACAGTACATGACGATCGGGATGCGGACGGGACCCATTGCGCCTTGTCCAGGAGCACGCACGAAGTCATTTGCTGCTTCTCGATGATTCGCTTGAGCTGGACCATGGACGTCACGACGTCCTTTTCAGCGATCTTGTAGCTGAGCTGGGTCGGGCAATACCCGTTCGGGTCAAACCGGGCAACGTGGTGTAGCCGCGCAACCTTGGCCTCCATCGAGTCCATGCGGTAGATGTACCCCGCCAGGATCTTGCCTCGGACAAACCCATGCGAGTTCTCGAGCGACGGACACTCGGGAATATCAATCGACGACAAGACACGAACGAACATGTCATGCCCTTGGTTGTCCACGATGCGATCCATCACTTCGAGGCAGCAATAGTCGCGGTTCGTCACCATCATGCTGGACGACTTGACGGCAAACCACTTGATCCCGACGTACCGGTACGGGTGCTCGGGCGTGCGTGGGACGATGTTTTGCAGGACAGCAGCGTCGACGACGCGCGGGTTCAACTTGCGCATGAGGCGTCGAAAGAGTCCGTCGTCGTGTGCCGAGAACGCGCGGCAGATTTCATCCAGTGACGCTTGCATCGTGCTTTTGCACCCGACCTCGGCGATGTTGCTCTTGTACGCGTACGCATTCGTCTGCGACGATGCCGTCGCGGTCGAGTTGGACCGAGGTTTGGGGACGTTGGAAAAGTTGCGGTAGATGGACACTCCTTTTTTCTCGACGACTGGGACCCACGAGTTCTTGTGCGAGTCGGAGAGCGCGAACACCTTTCGAATCGCGCTGGCGGCGTATTCCGTGTACTGATCGCGCTCAGCTTCTGTGATGCGACTCATGTCAAAGTACCCCTTGGGGAGCGGTAGCGACGTGGACATGGCGGGGCGGTGCTGCTTTGCCGCACGGACGACTGGACTGCCTCGCGGGATCGCCGCTCTGTTCAATTCTCAATACCTTCGATCGACAGACGGGAGCAGTTTGGACGCCAGTTCACACACGACGACCATCTGCATCATGTCCTACATCCAAACATGCGAAACTATCCATACTAGTGCGTTCGATCCGTCGTGGCCTGCCGTTCTCCCCACCCTCTTCCATCGTTTTTATCTTGATTTTAGTATATCAACTGCTTCCATTCGGAAGGTCGAAGATCCGGATACCTCATATCAATGTTCTACCGTACAACAAAACGGCACTTTGCATTTGTATGGATTTCAATGACACGAGAAAGGCCACCCATAAGTAATGCAATATATCCGGACAACGCGACGGCCGGCGTCCGCCCTAATCTTGCGTGACAGGGGACCGTCGCGCTGCAAGCGCTCGGGGGGGAGGTAATACTCACGTCATGTGCAACAGGAGTCGTGGCGTTTCGGAGGGGGGGAGGATGAAGGGACCTCATCATGGTGCTATGTCCACCACGGCATACTGGGTGACTCCAACATGCCCACTCCAATGCCGTCCTGGGAAAGACGAGGACCAACGGCCTACGCTGGCTTCGCGACACCACGGTGGCACCGAGAGCGACTGCACGCAGCAAGACGGGTGCACCAACTTGCTAGCGATTATCTGAGGGTGCCGACAATGGACCGATCCCGCTATTTCTTGCCGCAATGCTGGGCCGATGCCAATATCACGCTCTTGCGTTCGCATCTTGCCATGTCTTGCGACAAACACGAAGTAATGGACTGTGCACGGTGGCAGGACCCCAAGTACCCCTCGCACCACACTCGAGCCGCAATTTGGATGTCGACCTAGGGGGTTCTTTGCCGAACGAACGACTTTTCGCGTCGTGGCGACCCCGTCCGCTCCCGACAGTGGGCGAGAATGCAATTGCGAAATTTGAAAATCCTGGACATGCAGTAACAACTGTATTCCTGACGCACTCTCATCACGTTGTCGTCGCTGGTTTGTCTTGGTGGAGAAGGTGAAAGTACGCCAGGTTGCGCGTCGCCTCTTCTGATGTGGCGAGGTGCAGGAGATGATCCATCCTCGTTTGAATGTTGTGCACGCGGCACAGCTCAATGTCTTGGACCAACGCGTGGCCGTACCGCGAACAGCCCGTGGGTCCGTTCGCCCCTTCCATCCGTGCCACCGCAGCACGCAAGTTCCGCAGCACGCCCGCTTTCCACTGCGTCATGTACACGTCGCGCCGCACCATGTCCCTGCCAAGGGATTCAAAACGTGCTCTGGATAGTGTGGTCAACCTACCTGACGGCATGCAACTGCTTGAGCCACTGGGGCGTGACTCTATCAAGTGTCAAGGCCGTCGTCGACGCAGATGTGTCGGCAATCACCTTGGCTCGGTGCAAAATGAACCGTAGTCGCGATTCAAAGTCGCCCTGGTCACACGCAGTTCCTCCATACACTGCCAGCAAGTCCTCCGGGGGAGGGTCCACAACGGGCGAGCTTGCGACTACTTGGGGAGCTACCCGCACTGGTGGGGGAATATTGGGCGGAATGTGAGCGACTTTGACAATTGCTTGTTTGGCCCGAGCCTTCTTCACCCGACGTGGTCGCTTGTACGATTGAAAAGCATGAGCTCCGACAGTCATCCAATATACTGCTCGGTGGTGCCGCCACGTCACAATCGTTCGACATGCACGAACGATTGTGCGGGTCGCGGTGTCCTGGAGCGGAAAGGTGTCGGTGATGTCGTGGCGCTCGAATGCAACGCACAGAGATCGGATCCCAGCGTTGTACTTGGTTTCGGTGCACGACATGGCCATGGTCAAAAGGTCGTCGATATGGACCACGTTTGGTTGTGTGCTGTACGACACAGCTCGAACGAAGAGTTCGACAATGGTGCTATTCGGAGCCGGCACGGGCATCGGCACAACGTGCAAGGCTGAGTAACGCGATGGCATGCCCTCTCCGAACATCCAAGCGGCAATGTCCCATAGCCCGGCAGCGAACCATCTGCGACCGCAATCGTTCCACACGTGCGGCTGGTTCACATGATCGGGCCACGTTGGTCCAAAACACTTGAGCCACAGCAATGCGGCGTGTTTTTGAGTTCCTTGGCGTGCGTTTATGTAGGCCTACGACGATTTAACCAACGTCGCCGCCATTCGTGCTGCAGAAGGTACCATAAAAAACAGCCCGTCATTGCGTGTGAGCGGCGGTGGCAGTCGGTTCAGAATGGGCTGACAGTAACACGTACTGGTGAGACGATCTTGGTGGTCCCTTGCACGTACCACGAGGACAGCGCACGCGTCTCGAAAATTCAAGTTGAGCACTAGCAATGTCACGGATATGAGCAACGTCTGCACGTACGCGGGAGTCTTGGTCGATGTCGTGTCCACCAAGTGCGCCTGGAGATACAATGCTTCGACCATACGGCCGCATGATGCATACGCCCTGCGTGACAACGTGTCAGCATACACTTCTAATCGTGTAGGCGACGGTGTACAATGGAACATCTGCAGCTTGTGGGAAGGATTCGATCGACAACTTCGACGTTCCAAAAGCAGCAATCAAGTCGGTCATATAGCGATCATGTCGTGCAATCATTCGTTCCGCACCATGGCGCTCCAAATTCAAGTCGGCGACCATGACCGATTCAGGCACGGTTCATGCACCCTTTTTGATCTGGTTTGTTGACGTTTCGTTGTGTCGATCGAAACGGTCGTCCTCAGGTTAGGAGCACAGGACTTTTGGAATCTCGACATAGCGCCATCGTACGTTATCGCTGCCGCGCCATGGAATGCATGCACCATATCTGCCAACGTGATTCCGCAGCACCGGCATCTCGGATGCACGATTCGTTGTGGAGGTGGACTGGATGAAACGTCTAGTAATGCCATAGGAAGTGTAGTACATACTATTCGTACTAGTGCTGAGGAGTACATTATGTACGACTTGAGGAACTCGTACAAAAAATGCGTACATTTTATCGTGCAGTTTGGGGATATTGCGAGTCGCAAGCATGCTTGAGATTGGTCGCCTTCGAGTCGTTGAGCACGGGGGCGGCGACACCGTCGCGGCACTTGCTCGCGGATCGCACCGCATCGAGTCCAAGGCCGACCTGCTCCAATATACATGGTCAGCATTTCCAGTGGACCAACCTCTGTGGCGTGCAATCTTCGACATGCTGGACGATTTGCCCATTGCGTTGACGGTAACTGTGGACGACATTCACTACGATGAATGGATGATTCTCCACGTTGACTTGCGTTTCGAGTCGACCCCACCGTCCAAACCATCGTGGATCCGCCGCCACGACTATGTTCTTCAGCACTTTGAGGCAGCGCTCGTCCGCTCGACGACCAGAGCAATCACACCTGCCGACCTCGACTTAGCTCGAGTATGCGAATGCCACGTCGTGGGTTGTCGGGTGCATGCTCCATTGACCACGTCCCTCCTCAAGAAGCACTCGTTCAACTTACCGTCGCTGTTCAAGAGCTTAGAAAGTCCATTGGAAGCGACCCAAATGCACATTCGGCCGGACCGGTCGTATCTCGACCGACTGAAACACGGCCAAACATTGGCATTGACCGATTTGCCGATGAATACAATTTGGTGCATTCTCAAGTACCTAAATGCCCGCGAAATTGCCATGATGAGCATGGTGAACTCGTTGCTGCAGCATGTCACGTACGACACAGTGCCAGGTCTCCATTTGAATCTGTTCCCGCACCAGAAGAAAGCGCTCAAGTGGATGCTGTTTCGAGAGAGCCACTCTCTCCATCAACTCTTGTATGAACACGATGCGTCGCTCCACTTGCGGTCCTGACGTTTTGCTGGGCAGGTCGAAACCGCATCCGTACGTCATTCAGAACTGGATCGACCCCGTGTTGGGACGCACGGTGCCGGCAGCATTCTCGAGAGATGCCCGCGGAGGCTTCCTGTGCGACGAGCCTGGGTTGGGCAAGACCATCACGATGATTTCCCTTCTCCTTCGGACGCAGGGAGCGGTATCGCGCCCGGACGACGACACCGACATGTCCTCATCGTCTGCTTATGTCCTGCGCTCCAAGTACTGATCGCCTTGGTTTCTAAGCTCGTCAAGCACGATCGCAATTTGTAGAAACCACTCTGGACGCCGCGTAGCGACCAACCAACTGAGGCCATCGCACGCTTCCTTGATCATCGTCCCCGACACACTGATGGCGCACTGGTCATACCAGCTCAAAATGCACACGACGGGGCTACGAGTGCTCTTCGACTCACGCAAAAACGTGCCTGACGTGGATGTCCTCGAGCAGTACGACGTCGTCGTCACGTCCTTCGGACGGCTAGCCACACACTGGATGCACCATCGACCTCTCAGCGCGCTAGAACGTCGCGCGCCGGAACGCCTCGGGTCGGAGAACCAACGAAACTACGCCGACGGCGTCGAGCACAAGTCTCTGTCCCCATTGAGTCAGCTGCACTGGGTATGTCGATGTCGAAGCATGCTTGGCGACAGCGCATTGAACCGTCCTAGGTCCGCATCATCGTGGACGAAGGTCATAAACTTGGCGGGACAGCGATCACAAACGCGATGCAAATGCTGTGCAGCTTATCAGCGGACAAGCGATGGATCATGACGGGAACTCCTACACCGCACGTTGCGCAGACCGATGGTCTTCGGCACCTCCACGGCTTGCTGCGGTTTTTGCAGGAGATGCCGTACGGGTGCAACGACGGCAAGCCTTGGTACTGCGGTCGTGGAGGGTGTGCAGTTTTGGCTATGGTCGATGGTGGTCATGCGTAGGCTGCAGGCGATCGCCAAGCCGTTCGAAGCCAAGTGTGTCAAGGGGTACTTGCGCCTCGAGCGCTTGCTCAACCGCATCATGCTGAGACACGTCAAGGCCGACGTTGCCTCGATTCCTCCTCCGATCTTCATCACGACGGTCGTGAACCCGACGCCTGTCGAGTTTCGCATTTACAATGGCGTTGTCGGCGTCGTCCGCGGCAACTTGATTGTATTGACGAAGCGCAGTGCCTTGCTTCGTGACATGACGGGTGGTTGGCCTAGGTGACCAAGTGGGACCCCGAGACGCCTGGGCCATTGCACAAGGACAGCTTGCTCAACCCTGACAACCGGTACGAAGGATTGGGGTGTGCTGTATTCCAAGTCGATTCTGGTGATTCACGGGCTCCAGAGCATGTTCTGCGTTGCTCGTCCATTTATGCTGACCCCTGACAACACGGACCTAGGAAGGACGCGATCTTGGCTGTGTCCAACTTGCGCCTTGCCTCATGCGGGGGCGGGACAATGGAAGTGCTGCTATCTCAAAAGCATTACGTCGAGACGATCAATTTCTTTGACGAGTTCCAAGTACACGTCAAGGAGAGATCTCGATGCGAGTGTGTCGTTGATCACGTCGGTGCGGTAGATGGATTGGGACCGCCGCCTCATCGTCCAGCAGTACATGCGCAACGCGCAAGACGGCAACTGCACGCCATGCGAAGTGTGCCGCCGCGAGCTCCAGTTTGTCATGGTTACTGTCTGCGGGCACTTAGTCTGTGCCGACTGTATTGAAAAGCACGTGGACACCCATGGCTTCGTGCCAGGGCCGGTCTTGCGGACAACGTGCCCCGTGTGCAAGGCGACGTTCGATTGGGAACACTTTCAAGAGCTCCAGCCGGGTTTTGACTACAAGTGGACGTCCGACGATGCGAGCCCTGCTCCAGTAGGATCGGCGCCCCTCGGTGTCCGACCTCCTCCCACACAGCCTCCGTCACTTGCGCCCGGTCGAATTGATGGAGTTGACGGTGACGAAGATCACATTTGGGCCAGCAGTAAAGGTCTGTACGTCCTCGAGCGCATTCAAAGCTTGCTTGGTGTCGGCAAGCACCCCGTACAATCCCAACCATGCCGCCGCCGTCCCATCAAGTGCATCGTTTTCAGCGACTTTCAGGAGCACATTTACCGCATCCGTCCCGACTTTGCGCGCGCTGGCCTGCGCTTTGTCTCGTTCTTGTCGGGCGAGGTCAAGTTGAGCGCGCGCCTCCAGCAACTGCGCGATTTTCGCGACAACGACGACATCCACGTCCTTTTTATGACGGAAATCGGCGCCATCGGGCTTGACTTGTCTTTTGTCACGCACATCTTTCTCATGGACGAGATCTGGGACAAGAGTGTGGAGAAGCAGGTCATCGCACGTGCCCATCGAATGGGGGCGACGGAATCCGTGATTGTGGAGCAGCTCGAGATGCGAGGCAGCATGGAGGCATTGGTACGATTCGTGCGAAAATCGCGGATGGAGAATTCAGCTGATCGGACGATGGCGACTGCAGGTTCGGGAGCTGTATGCGGTGCCGCAGCATCAGCAGGGCGTGGAACGGCACAGTAAGGAAGGGAAGTCCCAGCACAAAAGAGCCAAAGCCAAGCAATCGAAGAGCCTCTTTCGCGTGATGAATAAAGAAAGCATGTCGTCCTTGCGGCTATACCACGTGCTCAAGAACGTCCGCATGATCGAGGGACCGCAACAGAACGGCAGCACCGTCGACGCAACGACTGCAACGTGCCGGGACGACCACCAAGCCGACATCAAACCCGCGATGAAACGCGCCAGAATAGGAGGATGATGAAGTGGTTAAAGTGTTCAGCAGCTTAAGCTTTTTGGGATGCTTTGGGTAAGAGCCACGCACGTGATCCGGGACGCGACGCTTGTTGAACGGACGTTCCGTGGAGTTCAAACACGGAGGCAAAGGCGTTCACCAGGGCGAGAGATATGAAGCGGGCAAGGAAGTATGGATGCGTTGACGGCCCTAGGGTGTCTCTAGGCTCTGCGTGAGCAGACCGACTGATACGGCGTGGGGAATGTCTTCGCCGAACGATGCGACGACGAAGAAGTCAAGCTTTGAAAGGGGAGGCGCAGGGGGAGTGTGCGACTCCACCTGACTGAGGTGCGGGTGACAAAGGAGGAGATGGGCGTGGCTGTGACATCGTCGTCGCCCCCAACGGGGATAGAACTGAGGCGGTGGAACGAAGAATGTGGCCTGCTGGGGGCGATGAAACGTTTGTGCGAGTGCACCCAACGGGTTAACGACGGAGGCGACGGACACCGCACGAGACCAAGTTGTCGATTTGCATACGCCTGGCCAAGCTGCGCTACAAAACATGCCAAGCAGCAGACGCGAGTCGGTTGTGGTGACATGTCGTGTTCGCGTTGAAGGGAACGGCAGATCAGGGACACACATCACGACGATCAATGTGAGCTGGTCCATTCAAGACGCGTTGCGGGCAGCCACTTGGGCAGCTCGCACAACGGAGTCGTCCCTAGGGAGCAAGTGGACGACGTCGAAGCCTCTGGCGCCTCTCGTCAAGGGGCCGTCGCCTCAATGCTGCCAAACACCTCGAGCATGTCAAGCAGCAGGCTGGATATCGTGCAATTGTATCCGTACGACATTCATCGTGAAGTGCCAATTCGAATCCAGCACCATGTTGGTCCACACGGTTCTCGAGGGTTTGGCGGCGTCCGCATCGATGGTCATCCAGCTTCACTCGATGATGCAGCTCACTCCATTGGATGCACCCCCTGCGTGGCCACCCGTGTTTGAGGCGTCCTTTTCGGAGGCACGTTCCATGTAGCGTCATTCGTCCAGTGCATGTTGAACCAATTGGTCTTGGTCAGGTGTATGAAGGCGTCCCCGTCGCGCCGTCATCAGGCAATTGGTACTACAGCTACAACTCATCCAAAGGAGGCGCGATACAGTGGAGAGTCGATCACATCGAGGCATGTTGTTGGCCTGGCGTTGGTCGTGTCACACTGACGACTTGACTAGCCCCAACGCAACAACTTTTGCGGATGCGTGCTGCCTCATGCGACTTCAACTTGCCAGCTCTTCTTCGCCCCGGACGGGATGTATGTACACTTTCCCGCCGTCGAGGACCTGTGCTGTCGACTCTGCACGTCCGAAAGTGGCTGCTCGCCGTTGAAACCAGACTGGCTGTCCGGCGCGCACCCGACGCGGTCGAAAGACCCAGACCTCATCCATGGCCGCGAATGCTACCAATTTTGCACTCCAGGGTACAGCTTGGTTCAGCGACAAGATGGCTTGATTTGATCGGTTCGACTAGGGCCCAATTCATGGACTGCATGAGTTACGATGCGTTTGGTGTACCCTGTCGGTACTCCGAGTCGTGGAGCCCCGCCCCCAAGTGGACGATTGTGCACAACCTGACGTTTACCTCGTGGGCGCTCCGTCTGACCGACTCTAGCGTGTTTGACCTGCCCAAATCATGCACAGCCCCATGCCGTCGGCTGTTTCCCGCCTGCATGAGTCCCAACTAGTCCACGCAGCGGTGTTGGGGAAGGGACCCGTCGAGTCTCCGTGAACGTGATAACAGGAAATGCTCCACACAACTCTTCAATGTCCTCATTCTCCGTGGAAACGCCAGACTCTGCCAGCCATTCAACTTTGACAATGGCTTCACCCGCCTACGTGTGACCAAACACTCGCCACGCACCACGTTGAACGCTTTATCCATCTGCTATGCAGCACAACCTTTGCTGCATGCGGTCGGCGAGCGTTGGGTATCATGCGCACAACTGCAACTTGGAGAATTCTCGTCGAAAACGACGCTGTTGTCCACAGTGGGAGGTTGCGCCGCAAGTCGACGGCCCAGGGCAACCACGGCCACCGCCAAACACACGCCCACCGCGCCGCACCCCATCCCAAGGACAAACACGGCCGATTTGGACAGAGGATGGGTCTCGATAGTCGCGATCGTGCGAACTGCCCCGACCGCGATCGGTAGCTCTCCCGTCTCAGCGTCGACGGCAGCAGTCCTGTTCACTTCAGCCGCCACTTGGGCCGGTGGGTGATAGTGCTGCGGGTACAAGACGTAGTCGGTCAGGTTGGCCCAGTCTGGGGAATACCCCACGTTGCGTCCGCCCGTGCTCGATTCGTTGAAATACTGGTACCCAGCGTTAAAGGTTGACACCAAGTGCCACGCAAA